CCCGTGCGATTTGCAGTGAGTTATGAGGCCACCAAAGGTAACGAGGCTTTCCCACAATGGAGCCAAGGCTTCTGCTCTTTCCGGAGAACTGGGAAGGCCAAAGCAGCGAAGCCACGTAATTTAGAACAAAATAGAGGTTTTAGGGCCAAGTTTTTCAGATAACGGCAAAAGCTCCTTTGTCGCAGTGTGTGAAAAGCAACATCGGTGGGAGAATGTTTGTTTCTAGATTCCCCGGCTTTGGAAATCGTCACCGGCAATATCATTGCAGCCCAGGTATTTATTTTTGGGTTCTCGATTGAACTGCTGGACTCCAGCAGAATTCCTTGCAGGAAGAAGAATCAATCGCCAAGAGACAATGGGATTCCTTTCAACTCACCTTCTCTTCGCTCCAAATTCCAGAGATGAGACGAGAGACGGCTTCCGAGGCTGATAGAGATGGATTTTGCCGGGAGAGTGCCAACGTCGCTCCTCCCGCCTCCCGTCGGCCCTCTGCCAAAGTCTTCCCATCGGACATCTGGCCCCAGCAGGGAGAAACAGGGACCAAGGCACTTATTTTGGCTTTGACGTCAGCGAAGGAAGGCTGAGTAAATTCATCATTAGTGCAAATTAAAATCCACCAAACCGTATCTCTCTTCGTTACATCGCCTGCATTTCTAGAGCTGACAGAGGTCTCGCTTTCCTTTTGTTTTTGTTTTGCTCTGGATTAAGGTGTGATTTTTTTTTAAAAACAGTTAATTGGAAGATAATAATGCCAGCGAGCTTATTGTTAATTATTTGTATCTGTACTTAATACTGAGAAGTGTGCTCTGTTCTCACGAGCTAATATTTGGCTTGTCAGATGTTGTTAGTCGTTGTAATTAATGGAGCCCATATACATTTACTGGAGCTGTGGGTAGAGTTATAGGAACAGCGGGAGATATGAAATTTCTCCACCACCCCGCCCTTATCCCTAGAAAGAGAACTTTGGGGCGTCGAGTCCTTCTTGTGACATTCATTGGTTATCCGTCTGTAAGACCCTCCATATCCTCTCTCTCGGCTCCCTGTTATTTTCCTTTGTACCATCAGGGCCAGCTGCATTGCTTCTGGGGCCCAGTGAAAAACAAAAACATGGAGGCCGGCCCGTGGCTGAGTGGCTAAGCTCGCGCGCACGCGCACTCTGCTGCAGGCAGCCCAGTGTTTCCTCTGTTCAAATCCTGGGCGCGGACATGGCACCACTCATCCAGCCACGCTGAGGCGGCGTCCCTCATGCCACAGCTAGAAAGACCCACAACTAAGACTATACAACTGTGTACCAGGGGGGCTTTGGGGAGAAAAAGGAAAAAAATAAAATCTTCAAAATAAAATAAAATAAAACAAAAACGTGGATTCCCTTGTTCAAAAATTATTGAGAATTTCAAGATGGCGACAGGAGAGTATTAAACCTAATGCAGGCCCGCGTGACTGCGTAGGTTGCATGCCCGTAAAACCAGCTCCGTGTTCCACCGATTGCCTTTTAGCCTTCCCCAAAAGGCATCTCCCACCAGAATGTGCCCCATCTCTCTTCTCGAAAGCTACAACAGTGCGCAGCACGCTACATGGGCTCAAGGAACGAGCCAAAGAATTTTCCAAATGCAAGCTTGAAAAATGCAAAGTGTAACCATGTAACTCCCCTGCTTAACACCCTCCTCCAGATGGACAGAGGGAACTTTGTGAAGGAACAGAAATGTACTATGTTGACGGAGGGGTGGTGATCACATGGGGGCAAACATTTGTCAAAACTCATCAAATTGTAGACTTCAGGAGAATGCAGTGCACCGTGTATAATTACACATCAATAAAAAAATAGCATGGGGGCTGGCCCAGTGGTGCAGTGGTTAAGTTCACACGCTCTGCTTTGGAGGCCTGGGGTTTGCGGTTTCGGATCCAGGGCACAGACCTATGCACTGCTCATCAAGCCATGCTGTGGCAGGCGTCCCACATATAAAGTACAGGAAGATGGGCACAGATATTAGCTCAGGGCCAGTCTTCCTCAGCAAAAAGAGGAGGATTGGTGGAGGATGTTAGCTCAGGTCTAATCTTCCTAAAAAAAAAAAAAAAAAAAGCATGCCTAAAAAGCCCCCGATGGCTCCACATTTCCCTCAAGATAAAGTCTATTTTTGTCACATGTCACACAAGGTCCTTCCCCAGGGGGCTGGCTGTTCTTAGTTTTCCAGCCTCACCTCCAGCACTTCTGCGGCTCCCATTTTCCAGCCGTGCTGACTGCCAGCACGTCCCATTCTTCCGTGCCTTCTTACTCAACTGCTCCCTGGCCCAGGAGTGAAAAGTCCAATCCGAACGACCGCTGTGGCATCGGCACAAACTGGAGAGGACTGAAGAACTGGAATGGAGCTGAGCCCTGGAGCTTTCTGCTGTACCAGATGTTAACTCTGCCGTTTCTGCGTTGTGGGGGAGCAGACGGAGTTCCAGGGGAGACAGGCTGGGGAGAGGGGCACTTCCTGAGCTCCAGGTACTGGCTATTTACCAGTCGATATGGAGGTAATCAGATATCGTACCCGGCATAGTCATATTCGTAGGTGCCTATCAACCCACTGCCGAAAATGTGGGCCAGCCCTTCCTTATCTGGCGAACACCTTCCTCCTCCTCCTTCAAATCTCAACTCAAGGGTCTTCTCCTCCAGGAAGCCTTCCCTGACTCCCTCTTATCTCTTGATCTCTCCTGCCAATATCTCTATAATAGCATTTACCATATTGTCCTAGATTAATTGATACACTTTCCTATCTTCTCTATCTCTTTAAGGCTGAGCTTCTGACTTCCTGTTCCAAGTCTAGCAAGGTGCCTGGCGCACAGAGACCCAAGTGCACACCTATGAGTGAAGGGACTTCCTTCTTGGCTTTCCCGGCACTTGGTGCAGATAGGTGAATGAATGTGTGAATGAATGAATGAGTGGAGTTTCTCTTTCCCCGATCTATAGTTCCTTTAATCGAGGTAGTGGGGATTCTTGGTATCTGGGTTTGGAGAGAGAGTATTGCAGCAGCTAAGATCTCCGACTCTGGACTCAGGCACCCTGGAGGGATCCTAGCATTTGCCGGTTGGCATATCCGGGCAGATGATTTGACCTCCCTGAGCATCAGATCAGGTTGTTATTGATGTGGGTTCACAGGGTTGTTGAAAAGCTCAAATGAGACAAGGCCTGCAAAACACTTAGCCATCAGCAGCTCTGACTGAGACAGAAATGGGACCCAGTCCACCAGGGAGCCGGAATTGGTGGATGTGGTCACCAGACAACAGGAAAAGAAGTCCTTTGCTGTTTCACAGCCGTCCTCAAACAAGCAGCTCTGATCTGGCTTCCATGATCTTGCCAGTCTCCTGGGTCCGATGGTTGCACAACAGAAGTGAGCATTTCCCTGCCACGAGAATCTAACCATTGGCAGACGTGACTGAGCCGGAACCTGGAAGACAATAAAAATGGGCAGGTTTTCATTTGCCTCCAACTTCCCATTTTTCCGCAGGAAGACTCCGACTTCAGCCATGAGAGAGAAAAGACCGTGGGCCTCGAGCTTATCAAGAAACCCACTCATAGGGGCTGGCCCCGTGGCCGAGTGGTTAAGTTCGCGCGCTCCGCTGCAGGCGGCCCAGTGTGTCGTTGGTTCGAATCCTGGGAGCAGACATGGCACTGCTCATCAGAACACGCTGAGGCAGCGTGCCACATGCCACAACTAGAAGAACCCACAACGAAGAATACACAACTATGTACCGGGGGGCGTTGGGGAGAAAAAGGAAAAAATAAAATCTTAAAAAAAAAAAAAAAAAAAAAAGAAACCCACTCATGGATCGCCTTCCCAATCAAAATGCCTGGTTTTCAGCCTTTCTGGATGTTCTGCCCAAGAGTAATTCTTGGCTTAACATGGCATAAATTGTCCCATTGCCCCATACCTCCTCCTCCTTCCAAACCACGGCCTCCCCACCAAGTCCTAAATTTCCAAGAAAAGGCAGTTTTGCATCGTGCCTAAGAACTCAGACACCAGAGAGACAGATTGGAGTTCCAGCCCTTCCCTCACCGGTTCCTGGCTGTGAGATCTTGCATGAGCCTCCTAACCCCTCATAGTTTTATTCTTCTACCCCTCTCGGCAAGGAGAGACAACAGTGTCCACGTCACAGAGTATCTGTGAGGACTAAGTGACACTTACCAAGTGGCAGAATTGGATGAGAGTTCAGTAACTGTTGGCTGTTATCATACTTGTGGTTTTAAAAAGAGGATATGGGATGCCAAAAGTATTTTAAAATTTTGTAATAAACCCTGCTGACCTACAAAATTGAAAAGACTCTTATTGGAGAAATATTGTCATCATCTCCCTATGTGGTAGGCTGGGAAATGCCCCTCTCCCCACCAAAACATTGAGAGGCAAATCTTTGGAACCTGGGAATGTGACCTTATTGGAAAAAGGATCCTTGCAGCTGTAATTAAGTCAAGGATCTTGGGATGAGATCATTCTGGAGTCGAGGGGGTCCTGAGTCCAACACAAGTGTCCTCAGAAGAGAAGAGAGATGCACACACAGAGGAGATGGCCGTGTGAAGACAGGGGCGGAGACTGGAAGCCAGCAGCCACCAGAGGCTGGAAGAGACAAGGAAGGATCCTCGAGGGAGCAGGGCCCTGCCAACACCTTGATTTCAGCTTCCGGCCTCCAGAATTATGTGAGAGTAGATTCTGTTGTTTTAAGTCCCCTGGGTTTTGATGATTTGTTATAGCCACTCCAGAAACCAACACATCCTTTGGCACCTCCAGTGGGGAACCCAACAACTTGCCTCCACTGGGCAGTTTTGAGGATGAAGGAGATCATTCTGCAAGTTTCCTGCCTTAAGCTGTTTTGGTAGAAGCCAGCATGGAGCCCTTTCAGCCTGATTGTTAAGAGCAAACAGACTTGAGTTCAAATTCCTAGCTTCCCTTTTAATAGCTGTGCAATCTTGGACAAGTGACTCAGCCTCTCTGAACTTCAGTTTCTTCACATATAAAATAGGAGTAGTAATACACCTACCCCATGAGATAATGGGATGATTCAGAAGATACTTCTAATGTGCCTGGTATGCAGAAGATGCTTGATGAATGGCCGCTACGATGATTCTTTGGGGCAAACCCATCCAGCTTCTCACCCACGTGGCAAGATGCTGATGTGGTTATGGAGTGGCCTGTGGCCGTGGGGAGCCCACAAAGCTAAATGGCCTGAGTGGGTTGAACCTGTGGCCGTTCCTGGTTAGCAGGCCTCTTTCCTTCTGAAGGAGAGGCCTGGCTGTCTCAAGGCGCCTGTGAAATAGCCAGCCGTTCTGGGCTGCCGCTTTATTGTTCCTTGCGGAAGCCAAAAAGTGATAGAAAGCCTTGAAAGTGAGCCGCGTGCTCCCAAGGCATCGCTCTGTGTCGGCGATGATCCTTCTAAAAGCGATGACTTCTAAACAAGCCGTGTTGACTCGATGGCCATCCCCGCTCCTACTTCCTGAGTATGTCTGTGTTCAGAAGGCTCTGCCATCCATGACCCTCCTACTTGCTGCCCAGAAGGGGCACATCCTTTCCACGGTTAAAAGGACATTTTTCCAATGAGAACAGGTCATATTTCAAACTGCATTGCCAAGGTATCAGGAGCCATAAAAGGGGGCATTTAACACCGTATTTATTTTGACTGGCAGAACAGGTCATGGCTGTAAAAGAAACAGCTCTTGAGAATGAAGCAGCCTCGCCGACTCTGGGCTCACTCTTTCTACCCACACACACACTGCTTAAAGCATTCCAGAGCTGCCGCCAACTTTCCTGGCAGAGCTCTTATTTCTTTACATGTATGTTGCGTTCCATCTGTTTAATGTGCGCTCTGTGCCATCCTTGGATTTTGGCAAGGCCTGGCGAGGTGGCATGGCATGCTCGGGCTTGTTCTAAGCAAAGCAGGGCATGAGGCAAAGGGAGGCTGGGAGGCTCCTGCAGGAGTCCTGTTTCGCTTTTGGCTCGGGGGGCCTGGTGCTGCAAAGACCAAAGGGGAATTGCATAGCCGTTTCTCTCCAGATGTGGTTGAATTACGTGTGTGCCACTCCTGTGTTTCGCCCTACGCAGGAGTGTGGGGGTGCGTGTTTTACAGTTTCTGATACGTGGCCAGCAAAAGAAAAGTGATGGAGAAAGGTAACAGAGGGGGACATCCACTCGTACTCATGAATCTGGGGTTTCCCTAGAAACATTCGAAGGCCAGAAAATGCCAACACCTGGATCCGATCGTCCCAAGGCCTAAAGAAAACCGAACTCCATCTTTATATTATTCTCAAGAAGCATGAAGTACTCGGTCGGAGAAGCTGAGGCAACGTGCTGAGATCTGGATCTTAACTCATCTACTTGGAAGAAAAGAAAGCCAGGTTTATGCACCGCCAAAACATCTGGTGAATTCAGTTCAAAAAGAAAATGCACCTATCCAGTGGGGGAGAGAACAAAAGCCTCGAGGACCAGTTGTTGGGTACTGGATGACCAAAAACACTCCGTGGATTGACTCACTTCTCCATCAGTTCTTCTTGGGTTAGAGCTCTTCAGAAGGGGGAAGTGAAGACTCCGGATGGGGAAAGGAAGACTATAGGGTTAAAAATATAAAGATTCACACCTTAGGAAAAAGTTTGAGTGCACATTTTTTTTCTTGACTCCAGCCTGGAGTGTGAACAGAATCCCCCTGTTAAGAAATGGAATTACTCACCTGAATCGGGAGGGCTGACATGGCACAGGAAAAAATAAGGTACAGGCTCCTAATAAGAAACAGCCACATGCAGAATAAAATTAGTGCGCGTTGTGTAATCCCAGTTGGCCAGTTGTAAGAACAGGGAGGAGAAAGGAGCACAGGGAACAAGTTTCAGATGCGATTCAAGAGGTCCTGGAACCCGTCCTGACCCTCTGGGTTGGAATTTCTGACTCTCTTCTCTGCCTTGACTCAGAATAGGAAACCGTATCCTGACCGCGCGTTTCTTTTTATAGAATTGAACTTTCTTGCCAACTTCCTCCAGAGCACAAGATCATCCCTCTTGGTCTCTAAACAATACGCCAATCATCGGATGGAAGTGAGGGGAGCGCTGACCTGTTAGCACCAAACACAGCCCAGGCCCGGAACGGGAGACACACAACAGGAGCAGAGCTGGCTTTCGTACCCGGCCTGGTAAAGACAACATGTTCTTACAGGTTGGAAAACCGTCTGGCTCATCTTTGTACTTTCTCTCTTTCTCCCACTTCTTCTAACTTGGATCGCATCATTGGGCTTTGACGTTGGCCAAGTTCACGTTTGCCAGTTACCGAGTGGATCATGAATGGTTTGTAAGATTAGTAATATGCTAGGGATGGGGAGACAGGCGGCCAAGTGTATACTGTCTATGTGATAAAATGACTTCTCTCAATCCTGATTCCCCACCCTGCCCGACAGGCCAGCCGCGAGTCACGGAGGACAAGAACTGAACGACTTCATTGCCATTCATTGGGTCGCCATATTTGCACTGGCAACGAAACCCCCAGGATACCCCTTGCCCTGGCAATCAGTGAGTGGGGGTCGTTTCTTGCGTATAAGATATGCTGGAGGTTGGAAGCCCCAAGGGGACATTAATAGAATGTGAAGTGTGAGTAGTCCCTCATTAAAAATGGATTTTGTTTTCAATGCTTTGAGGACGGGAACCGTGCAGTTGGAAACCGTGCTGGTAATTGGGAGCAGGTCTCCTGCCAGATTCGAACAGCTTTAAGGGGTATCCAGTTTTAGGTTTACAGTACTACATTCTGGCTCATTGAAATCGCATCTAAACGTTGCCAGAATGTGTCATAAACTACAAAATCTGTACAAAAATATATCTGTACATCATGGCTCTACAGCCCTAAGTCATGGGGGTCGGGAAGCAGTTTGTTCTCGCTCCACATTGTTCTCGCTCTGTCTGGAGGCAGACGTGGAGCACCTGGGACAATTATCATTCATGGGATGCCGACCCTGGTCGGACCAGTTCGCTCAGCTGCTTAGGACACCGTGTTAAAGGGCTGAGGAGTCAGCCTCACCCTGTCCTGTGGCCATGGATGCCCTCCCTACCTGTGCTGCAGCAGACAAAGGCGTGTGACTAAGCCCAGCGGGCTATCCCCCCTTGCTCCTGGAGTGAAGTCCCACACGTCCTGCTCACCTCGCCACTCTCATCCCCGATTACCCTTCACCCACTGGGCTCTACACACACAGCATCTTCTTCCAAATCCTCTGGTTGACTAAGTTCCCTCTTGCCTCTGAGCCTTTGCTCAGGCTGTTCCCCTGCCAGGAACTCTTTTCTCTTGGCTGACTCCTGCACCACACCCAGCACTCAGCTTACAGGCTGATCTTTCGTGTAAGCCCTCCCTCACCCCTCGGACTGGATTCCTTTGTAGCTGTCTTAGTCCATTCAGGCTGCTATAACAAAAACACCGTATATAGACTGGGTGGCTTACACAACACGCATTTATTTTTCACGGTTCTGGAGGCCGAGAAGTCCAAGATCAAGGCAGGTTCAGTGTCTAGGGAGGACCTGCTTCCTGGTTCCTAGGGCCATCTCCTTGCAGTGTCCTCACATGGGGGAAGCAGTGAGGGAGCTCGGCCCTCATCACCTAGCTAAGTCCCAATGGCCCACCTCCTAATGCCCTCACATTGGGGGTTAGGATTTCAGAACTGGGGGGGGATACAAACATTCAGTCCAGAGCAGCAGCACTTATCAAAATTGTCACAGAACTTCTGCTCCATGTCTGATTAAAACAATGCTTCTCAAACTGTCATGTGTGCAGGAATCACGCAAGATGGTGTTAAAATGCAGATTCCGATTCCTAGGTGTGGGGTGGGGCCTGAGACTCTGCATCTCTAACAAGGTCCCGGGTCATATTGGTGCTGCTGGTCCGTGAACCCCTCCCTGAGAACAATGGTGCCGACCTTTCTCAATCAGGGTTCCATGAGAGAAGAAAGTTCGGCAGAAAACCAGTTGAACTACTGTTTTCTCGTTTCTCCTAAGGAGGGTCCTTAACCAGAGCCATTAATCAGAAGTCAGTTCCTTGCGAATCTCGTATGCCTTGGGGCAGAGTTTCTCAACCTCTGGACTGTTGACATTTGGGGCCGGGTAATTCTTTGCAGTGGGGGCTGTCCTGTGCATTGTAGGGTGTTTAGCAGCATCCCTGGCCTCCTCCCACTAAATGCCAGTAGCACCATCTCCCAGTTGTGACAACCAAAAATGTCTCCAGACACTGCCCAGTGACCCCTGGAGGCAACATCACCAGAACAATTCCTTTGGGACCTCCGGGTGTCATTCTCTGGCAGTACCCAGTTGAGACGGGTGTGGGGTTGAAGAAAATGTTTTATTCATGGCTATAATCTCTTCGTCTAGCACAGTGCTCTGTATATGGCAGACCCTCAATATGCGTTTGTTGATTGATTGAATAAATGAACGAATAAATGAAAATAAACGGATGAAAATGAGCTCCAAAATCCTGCTTGGCTGGTGGGTGAACAGAGCTGCCTTCACGCAGTCTCCAACCTCCTCCGCCCCACCCTCCCCCTCAAAAAAACAGTAAAACTTAGCGGGCCAGTTGTCATTGAAGGCACAACTTTTCTAAATGTAGCATTTTCCAGAGTAAATATCCTTTTGAAAAAAATGCGAAGAAAGATTCTCGCTTGAGATCTTTTTTTAAAATGTCTCCAATGACTAAAATCCTCTTACAGTAAATATCCAGAGAATTGCATTTGCTTAAAGAAAAAAAAAATTTAATTGCTGTTTTTAGTCTCAAGTGTAGAAAGTACTTGAAAATCATGGACTTTTTTTTTTTTTTTTGCGTCTGACTGGGCAAGTTATAAAATGGTAGAGTTAATTTGGGTTCTAGATCGTTTCCAAAACTTCACCTTAGACTGAGGCCTCACGGATAAAGCAGCATTGAGAACTTATAAAAAAAAATCCCTGTAGTAATAACTGGGAATTCAAGAAAAAAAGCAGTAGTTGTAGGAGTTTTTTTGGGGGGAGGGGCAGTAGATTTTATATGGTTTCAAAAGGAAAATTGCAAATAAATAAAAACAGATCTGCACCTTGCTTAAAAGCTATGGATTCGGGTTCTATTAAGAAAGAGGGAGAATTCATTCAATGTGTTCGTTTCCAACATATTCAGAGACAGACAAGTTTTCAAACCACATTGCTTCTAGAAAGCAAAGCCAACTTCTCGCTCCTCTCTTCCAAACCCTTGGGCAAATGGGATTTGGAGTCCTGAAGAGGTTTCCGGAAAAGGATATGGTGGTGGCGACATTCCAATGCTCTTCTCAGTGTATCCTTCTTTACCTAGCAGAGGCAGAAAGTCTTTTTTAGCTTGGATGTCTCCGGTGCAATCCATTGGTAGTGGCTGTAGGCATGGTTTTCGGAAAAGAGTGCTATGATTGATTGGTAATGTCTGCCACAGGCAGGGGCGTGGAGAATGACGGACCAGCTGTGTATTTGCCATTCCTGGATCCTGGTATGATCTTTTCCTCTTCCACAGGTGTCCTAGGCAAATGGAGAACATTAAGAAGTCACTGCACAGCCGAGCATAACATGCCTCGCTCTCTTTCACACAGACACACCAAGTCAGCATTTCAATTCAAGAAAGCTCCCAAGACAGAGGTGACACAGAAACACACTTTGGGGGGAAACTTCCCCCTTCCCTGGAATAGGATACCATATGTGTGACTCCCTCTCAGGGTCAGTATGGCTGGAACATGCCATTTCTCCTCTATCCAGTTACCCTACATTCGACTCTGTCACTGTGACACCATATGCTGCCGGAACAACACATCCTCATTCCTTGGAATAAAAAGGTCTTTCATAAGACTTATTAAGTCTGAATCTTAATCATAGTCATCATTATTCAGTCTGCTTGCTGTCCACAATATTGAAATGAAGGGAAACAAGAAATAGAAAAAGACAAGTTTACAATCTTCAAGACACCAATGAATAAGAAACGATGGCGAAGAAAGCAAGAGTGACCTCAAAAAAAGAAACGTCTTAAAGTGTAAAAAAAAAAAATCCACAAATAGACTCTTAGCTTTCAATATTAGTCTTTACTTTAAAAATAAGGGGAGGGATGATTAAAGAGATGAATTCACATTTGAATAGAATCCAAATGACTTAAGAACTATTTGGATCCGAATATTTCAGTTGGACAAGGAATGATATTAAAGTTATGTGATACATTAGGGGTTGAAGTGAAATGGAAATATTTCTTTCATTTAAAAGCAATTTTCTTGCCTTTGTGGGCCTTGAGAGTTTCCCAGGTTGTGAGTGCCAACTCCCCTCCCCCTTCTTTCCTTTAGATTCATGGAATCCTATTTAGGGGGAAAATGGAGTTTGTGTTTGTGAGAGCTCCTTTTTTAAATCGTGCGGCTGCAGGGAAGACCTTCCACGTAGAGCTGAGAGGTGGGTAATTTTGAATCCAAATTAGAAAGTTTTGGTAATAGCCATACGGCCGAATCACACCTGCATTTACTGCTGGCTTCGCATCTCCCACCTCACAGATGATGTGGCCACGAGTGCCATCCCTGGTCAGTGTGGGGAAACGGGAAGTGCCAGCCTGGAAAGACAGGAAGCAAGTGGCTGAGCTCTTCTCCACTGCATCTCAAAAACAGAGGGCATGTGGGGGGCCTCATCAAGCAGGACTTAACTTCCAACCCAGCAAACATTTATTTAGTGCCTACTATGTGCCAGGTGCTGTATTAAGGGCTCTTACATGTGGCATCTCATTAAAACCTCATGACAAGGAGAAACATCTTGGCGAACTCTGCCCATTTCTCAGTCCTCAGTGTGGATTTCATAGTCACCTTAGGGCAGGTCTCTCAGTCTCAGCACTGTTGGCATTTTAGGCTGGAGAATTCTTTGCTGGGAACTGTCTTGTGCGTTGTACGATGTTTAACAGCATCCTTAGGATGTGTAGCAGTGGCCTCTGCCTACTAGATACCAACAGCATACCTCACTCTAGTTATGACAACCAAAAATGTCTCTAGACATTGCCTAATGTCCCCTGGGAGGGGAAAATTGCCCCCAGTTGAGACACTCTCCCTTAGAGACAGGATGGTTTGAACCCTTGGGCAGCTGTAGACAAACATTCCTTTTATTCCCCGCTATGGTCTGAGTCAGTGGCTCTCAAACCTGAGTGGTCTCTACACGATACCATATAGACCCTACTTGATGGGCAGGAGATTTTCAAGGGTAATTTGACTCCATCCATTTTTGCCTTACAGGCTGGCATTGAACCTAACCTCTCTCTTAAATTTCATACCACTGGCCTCCCTGAAGAGCCCTGCAGTGGTCACAAAGGTCTTTCCAGCATGGAATCTCTCTCATGCCCAGGCTTTTTCCATGAAGCCAATGGTGACAACTGCCATTGCTGAACACTTCCCGTGGAGTCGGGCCACCTCACTGGATACTGTGAGGTAGGTACTATTTCTGCTCCCTTTCAAGAGGAGACATTGAGGCTCACACCGGTTAAATAACTTGCCCCACATTGCACAGCTAATAAACGGTGGAATCCTTCTGATGCCCAGCTGTACTGCTTTTTAATAGAAAGTATGCACAGCGAAAACTCAATGACTATTAGCGACTGTTTACTAGTGGGAAACAAATCTGTCTAATCTGCTCATGAGCAGTTATTCAAAATAATTTCCCTGAACCAAAAAAGACTGATGGTATTGGCCAATCCTCCCAACCTCACGGCTAGCAAGGATATGGGTATTCAGGATGTACATGTATATATACCCCAAATTGTGTTTCTCTTTCAAAACACAAAACAGAAGCTACCCAAACGTGCATTAACTAACTGTCAAAACAAAACAAATCATTTCATTTGGAACTACAAAAAGACTGGAGTGTTGGCAGGTACCATAAAATAATCGTGATCTTACTTGCCACATCATAGCAAGATTACACATTTGCTCTTACATTTCCCCACGTGGCTGGGTGCTTCCTGAGGTCAGGGACTACTTACTCATCATCACTAGACCCCCGCAAACTACAGTTGTTGAGTTACTGATTAATACATGAATGCACTTTTTAACCTAACACACACACTTTATCTCCATTCTCTCAGTAACTGTGGGTGGTATATATTTTGGAGATCCTCTTTATCATAGGAAAAGACTGAAACTGAGGGAGAGAAAGTGACCAGCCCAAGGTCACCTCTTGGTCAACTATGGATCAAGTCTCATGCTTTGAACCCCAGAGCTCATGCTTTTTGCAATAAGGGCTGCCAAGATAAAGGAGGGTTGGGAACCCCAGGTGTGGACTTGGTTCTGATGTCTAACATTTCAGAACTGTCTTTCTATTAAGCAAAATAAAAACAGGATGTGCGTCCTATGAGCCTTTAATGTACGTGGATTCAGCCATGTATGCTTGTGGTGAGAAAGAGAGAACAATGTAATGAGTATAGGGAGTTCCCACAGCAGGCTATGGGATGTGCGCATATCCAGGGTGAGCTTGGGGTGGGACCACAGGATGGCTGATCCCTTGCCAGTCTCAGGAACCACCAGCCTCTTTTCATGTGTGGCCCTTGGCTCCCCTGAGTGGGAGTCCCATGTCTATACATGTTTTTAAAGTATTTAAGGATCATTATTTCTCATACAATCTGACCCTTAAGTACAAGGAAATTGCTTCATCTGGTTCTCAGCCAAAGAATAAGGTGGGATAAACTGGCTGGGTAGAACTTACTGAATTGAGAGATGGTCTGTGAATGACCACCATGGCTGCTTCCTAAGGGATTTCAAGGGATATATGTGACTATGACCAAACATGCTGATTTTTGACCCCAAGATATGCCTGAGAATTACCGGGAAAACATCAAAACCAGACCTTATGCAAGAGATCTATGAAGACGTAAATTAAAATGAGAAAGACAACTTTGACATTTTTTTTGAATGCTGGGCCTTGTTCATATACAGGCATACCTCATTTTATTGTGCTTCACAGATATTGCATTTTTTTTTTTTTACAAATTAAAGGTTTGTGGCAACCCTGTGTCAAGCAAGCCTATTGGTGTTAAAAGCTCAAATAATGGTTAACATTTTTTAGCAATAGAGTATTTTTTACTTAAAGTATGTACATTGTTTTCTTAGACTTGATGCTATTGCACAGTTAATAGACTACAGCGTAGTGTAAACATAACTTTTATATGCACTGGGAAACCAAAAAATTTATGCGACTTGATTTATTGCCACATTTGCTTTATTGTGGGGGTCCGGAACCAAAGCGGCAATATCTCTGAGGTGTGCCTATATACTAACTCATTTAGCCATCACAACGTGCCTATTGGTAGGTACTATTATTATTATTCCCATGCCATAGATAAAAAACTGAGGTATAGAGGGACTCAGTAACTTGCCCAAGGACATAGCTGGGAATTGACAGAACCAGGATTTGAACCCAGGTACCCGAGCCCTCTACACCCAACCACATTTCTCTCTCCCCAACCAGGGAGTGATCCCCAGAAGACTTGGACTAGAGTTCCTCATCTTTCCAGCTCCCTCAGACCTGACCCTGACCTGGAAACACTGGGAATTCAATAACGACTTGTTTTGATCCATTGCTTAGATTGTTGACTGTCCTTCAAAACATTTTGACAAGGGAAAAGGAACAACGATCCAGGAGCTCAACATTTCAAGGAAATCTATAGCTTGGTAAAAACACCAAAAGGAATGAAAACAAGGTGATAAAACGGAATATAAATAGCTCCACCATTATCTGCAGAGTGTGTTATAATGCATAACAGTGGCTGGTCGGTGCAGAAAACACAGCCTCTTTGCAATGTTTTGTTTGTGTCACCGTTTCTGTTAGTGAGAAAGGAACACAAATAAAGAGTTAAATATTTTAGTGAGAATTCTATTAATTGGACCGGGAACGGAATGCAGGCCTCTATTTGTCTTCACTCTGAAAAACTCTTCGCGAAGTCCCATCGTGTGTACGCGGGAGCAGGGAAGGCTGAGGCCCCTCAAGACAACTGTTTGCAGGCAAGTTGACAACCACTTTGCCAGAGTTCCTTTAATGAGCTAATTACAAAGGGCTCTTAGGTGTCTCTGCAGCCAGTCCTGGAGGAGCCGCACTTCAGAAACACTGAATGAGTCATTAGCACCTGAAATACTATAAACACTGTAGACTCTTAGAACATCTCATGAAATGAATGTATCTGCCACTTCAGGCTGATCTTCTGTAGTAGTCAGGACTTTTTCAGTTGCAAGCAACAGAAAACCAACTCAAATTGGCTTAAGCAGAAAGGAATGTTTGCCGGCATTAGGCATGGCTGAATCCCTGTGCTTAATGGATGTCAGCAGGAATCCGACTTTGTCCATTTCCTGGCTTTTCTTCCTTTGTGTTGGCTCCATTCTCAAGCAGGCTTCCCCTAAATGGTGTTAAAGCTGTTCCTGGCAGTTTCAGCCTTACATCCTACCAGCTTAGCATCCTAGGCGGACGAGAGCACCGATTTCTCAATCGTTCTGGCAAAAATCCCAGGGCTGGAATCCTTTGGCTCTGATTGGCCCAGCTTGGGTCACATGTGCATCCTTGAGCCAATCCCAGTGGCCAGAACAAGCAATACTCTTATTAGTCAGGACTGGGTCACACCTACCTCTAAAACCAAGATAGGGGCAGGCCCACTGGAACCACAAGGATCAAGGTATGGGGGAAACTTTCCCAGAGGAATATCCAGGTTCTGATGCCAGACAATGGGGGTGGAAGGTAATGGAGAGATGATGCTGGGCAGGCAAAACCAGTGAGCGTCCTTGGAATCTCCTCTCTAAATTATCTCCAACAAGCAAGGTGTTCCCAAGCAGAGGAACTTCGTGTGGTTTACAAGTGTAATTTAGATATTTGCTTGGATATCTGACGCTTAAACATGGCCTGTATTGGCTAGAACATTCTGGAAATATTTTCTGCAAATTGCACTCACCCGCGTGGCTTGAAGTTTGGGGGGTTTTTCTTTCTTTCTATCTTTCTTTTTTTTAATTCTTGGAACAAGTCCTTAAGAAAAAGAGGAACACAAATGCCACAAAATGATTCGAAGCAGACAGACAACTCTGACAGCGGACAGAGATGGTCAATGAGCACGCAGCTGACGTTTCTCTGTCCTGACGACCTTTCCTCCGTTGAATAATATTCTTGGGAATCCTCCCTGCCTCTTCTTTTTTTATGTTAATGACTTTGTGCCTATTACAAAAGCAGTACCTGCCTAAATCAGAAAGAACTGAATATACACAAAGCGTCCCCAGTGAGCGCACACACACATGTCCACACACATCATCGCCCACCATTTTATTCAGAAACATCTATTCACCCAGCAACACGCCCTATGGCTTGTCCACACACCATCTTAACCCCATTTCACAGATGAGGCTCACAGCATTCAAACTGACAAATGGGGGGCTGGGAACCGAACTCACGTTTGTCTGACCTCAAAGCCTTTATTCTCTCTGTGACTCCTCCTCCACTCCGTCTTACCACCTGAAGATTTCCTGAATTAACCTTACAAAAATGGTGGATTGTTCATAATGTCTTATGGCCTGCTTTTTGATGAGCCACATTTTCCCGTGCCATTTAACACGCTTCTGTGCAATTTTTTTGGACTGGGTTGAATCTGTGACATGGATGCGCCATAACTGACTCAATGAATCCCTGATTGTTGGACATTTAGGTTGCTTCTAATTTTTCAATATTATATGAATGCTACAGGGAGTCTCCTTGGGGGAACATTTTCACATACATCTCTGATTATGTCTTTGGGATGAATTCCTAGAATTGCTGGATCAAAGGCATTGTGTATTTTTAGTGTTTAATACCTATTGCCAAATTGTTCTTCAGAAAGGCAGACCTAGGGTACAATCCCACAGCAACGTATGAGTTTCTGTTCCCCAATCTGTCCCATTATGCCTCTTCCTCAGAGATTACTAGTCATTAGCTAATTGTGCCTCCCATCCCCTACAATGGGGAATGGGGACTTTTTCAAAGTATAAATCACTTAATAGTATTCAAATATTTTAATGCAAATGCAGTGGTAAAAATTGGTCAGTAATAATTTGCATCCCTGTCATTATTATGATCCGTATTGGGAGAGTTCATGCCCTTTCTTCCCAGTCCTTGAGACTGAGTCCACACCTTGGCACAGGACTCCAGACAGT